TTTTGTCCTGACAAGGTTGTCCAAGGCTCATTTGCTGTGACTCGGCCAGCATCGTGCAGGTCTTAGAAAGATGCCAGCGTTGAGCCCCTCGTGCCCGGCGTCGGCTGTGGACTGTGCAACGGGGACTATGCTAGATGGCTCCATGGGTGAAGGGGTGAGGGTTATGCATGGACAGCCTCCACCTGCACTCCCCCATAAGGACCCTGGGATCCTCTCTCAGCTCTCTTGTGAGGCTCACTGCTTTCCCTGCAGTTTGTGGAGCTGTTGTCTCTTAGAGTCTCCCTGGACCCCACTACCTGGGCTCTTATCTCTCATCTGGGAGAGATTCCTTGTTCTGGGAATTCTAGGGCAGGAGTATTTTGAGGTGCTGCTATCCCTAAACTAAAAGAAAGCAGCATGTTCCTTTTTTCCAGTTACATTCCTGACTCCTTTCCTGTAATTTCCATCACAGTCTGCTGCTAGCAGCCAATTTACAGATATGCAGCTGTAAGAAATGCAATCCTGCTAGCAGGGTTCCAAGTCAGGATTCATGGGAAGGAGCCATTACTTCACACAAAGCTTTAACCTTTTTTTTAATCCATCCCCTTCCTGTTTCCTCAGTTACAATTCCCACGTAATTACCTTCGAGTTGTACTAATTGTGTACCTTATTTAAATTGACTGTAAATCCTGTCCAGGCCAGTGATTTTAAAGATGGGATTCTTCACTCGCACCTGTTCTTCTCCAGCTCTGGTCATCAGAATATCAGGCATGTAAGATAACCCCGTTTCTTTATTCTCTGGAGACAACTGTTCTAATGCTCCTCTAATCTACGCAGATTCCAGCAGAGAAGAATCCAACGCTATGATGACCTATCTTATTTCACAAGCTTGTTTCTAAATGGGGTGCAGAGTAGATACTAAGCACTGCTGTCGTTCTAGACTTGAAATGTGCGGGAATCAATGCTCTAAAGGCTGAAGTAACAATTTGTTATACAGAGAGACAAATTTCAAACCCTGAAGGGCCACCATAGCCTTGAGTCTAAGGAAGGAGACAAAGAAACGCAGTTTTGATAAGACCTTGCAAATGGGACGGGAACAAACACAGAATGGACGTGCAGCCACCAACACTGGCAAATCCAAAATGCTGCTTTGCAAACCTGTCACGCATCCATATGCACAGACAATGGTACCTCACACGCCTACAACAGATTCTTAATAATGGTCCCAGCGAGTGCAGCAACCATCTCCTGTGATTTTAGGGTGCTGTGATCCAGCCTGGAGAAGGAGCGTAAAATTAGTAAATCACTGCCCAAAGTGGCCCAGAACAAAAGCCAGTTTATTTGAGGTCAGGAGGACATATTTCATGTGTTTCATATAGTTTTGTTTTTTTAAAATCTCTGAACAAACTGTTTTCCTTCCCTCTAGAAGAGTTCAGAGTGCGCTATGGACAGAGAACGCGAGGCCATCACGTTCTGCCTCAAGCCCCGCGATAAAGTAGCCTCCTGTGCTGCCTGCTGAGGATTATGGAGAAAGTGTGAGTGCAATACTAGGTGTTGCCCAGGGAATACTTGTAAACTTGGTAAGCTCCTGCTGGTTTTTAATGCTACTTAAGTGGTAGTTAAGAATCAAAGAGGCTTATGCACACAGGATGGAGTTCTCATTTTGTCTTCAATAATAAGTGGTAAACAATACTGAATACAGCAGCTAAATGCCTCTTTATTATGAGGCACTGGAAGATTCAAACCAAATTAACTGTCGTGTTACACACCGCTGCATACACTAGTAACGAAGAATATTCATAGAAAAAGCTTCAAATCTCTTGCTAGAAAATGGGAAATGAGGGGAATCAAGCTGTAGCCTGCATTTCTAAGAATAATCAACATTATTTGTATAAGAGCAAGTAAAAAAGTTACAGTTCTGCACAGGCTTGGGACAGATGAGAGTAAAAGTCTCTTAACTGACAGAACTGCCCGATAATTGACAATCACTTTCCCAAAGACAGCTAGTAATGCAGTCTTGCTGGAATCTGCTCTCAAGTCTGAGAACATTCGTGCCTTTTGAAGTGATTTAAGAGGAGCTATAGAGTCAGAGCTGTCAGATTTGCAGATGAAAAGGCAATTTGACTCCATAGGAATGGTAGAAAAATGTATCAGTTATTCAGACGGGGCTTCGGGGTAATGGTAAGCTGAACAAAATTGCAAGCTCTGCAACTGCTAGAATTACAACATATCTAGGGACAAAAAGCGTGGCTCACATGCAACGTGTTGCCATACTGAAGGGATTTAGAAGTAAGGACAAAACCAGCTAGCATGAGCTTCAGCACTGCACTAGGAGACTCATCACAAAGATGAGCAGGGGAGAGGGAGTTATTAGCAGAAAATGGTATTGCTTTGAGTAACTTCGGGGGAGCCAGGTATAAGAAGTGTCTCATTCGCCTATCTATGCATCAGACAGGAAACAAGTGAAAACAGATCAGAGGAGAAAGCTAGCAGAGCAATTTAAGTTCTGAGGAGGAAGAATACCTATAGCAGAAAGACCTCAAAAGATCAATCTCTTAACCATGAGAAGACTGGTTAACCAAGACAAGGGGTTTATATTCTGTTACCTTCTTGCAGAGGCAGCGTTGTTGATGCTGCATTTAGATAGTTGCCTGTTAAAAGCCTAATATTAGACAATTCTATATATTTGAACCAGGTGCTGCATTTTTTGAGAATTGCTAAAATCAGAGACCTAGCTGAACTTTTTCATCACCTGAAGTTTTTAGACCTAGGCTTGATGTCCTGAAAAAGGAAGAAAAAGAAGTTATGCCTTAGGTCAAAAATAGAACCTGTGATCTTTGAGAATGGACTCTTCTGTCTTTAAAATTTATGGAGGAATGCATCTCTGAATATTTGAGAATATCAGATGAGGGAGGGAAAGACAGACTAGGCTGGTCTCTGTCTCAAGATACACAAATTTTAATTTTCTCCAAACAAGCACGTTTACATCAAACCTTCCACCGATATTTATAGCTCTGCTTTTTTGCACCAGAAGTCTGTAGCCAGCCTGAAGAAGTTACCCAGCTGAAGAAAAAGGAGCGATGAAGAGAGTAATTCAAAGTCTACCAGAATCAAGATATTTCTTCAAAAAAATGCAAATATCAGATCTCAAAACAGTAAAGGTAAGCTCTTAAATGAGGATGGGGAAGAGGAAGAAAGGTAGCCTATGCCTTAAGAGGAAAAAAGTAATTGTTTTGACCTACTGGGAGAGAGAAATGCATCACAAGGCAATGTGCCAAAAAGATTTAGAGAGATTCTCTTCTTTCTCTCCTCTTGGGAAGCTCAGTGCCAGTCTTCCTCTTCCTGTCCTGGCATACCTGGAATGCTTGTTTGCTTACTGCTCTCACGTGCATCCTTGTTATAGTAAATTAGCATTAGATCCTGACAGTGGCATTCTGCATTGGCTCAGAAAGGTGTTTCCTTTACTTTTGAATGAAGGAAAAGTCATTCCGAGCAGGAACATATGCACCTGAATGTAAGCTCCACACTGTCATGTGCAATGACAACATTCCTCTGTTTTAGATTCCACTTGAAGAATGAGATAATGGCACAATTAGTTTACTGCCTGAATTGATATGTCTTCAAAAGCACTACAGTGTGTTTGGCAGCTGGTGGGAAGTAATGATACATTGTTTTGTATCATCAGTATTACAGGCTGCTGCTACTTTCATCTACCCTTTTTGGGGAAGGCTGGGGGGAAGAGTAGAATTTTAGGTGCATTTTTTTTCCCCTCTTTCTACCCTCCTCCTCCATCTTTCAAACACATTTTCAAAGAAAGAAAGAAATTGTTTAAGTCTGAGACTTAAGTGCTATAACAAGAATCGTATATTACTCGAATAAAATACTTTTAATTTCCTGATATTTATATAGGGGGTAAACTTACATGTATAATGCCCGCATTAATTCACTACCATTACCTAATCTGTTACTACTTATAAAATGCCTGCTGCTACACACAGATCTATATATTATATACTCATAATTAATGCTAGAAGCTAGTATTGGCAGAACCTTTATTTGAACAGTCCAAAATGCTCTACAGCCATAAAATTGCTCACAGACTGTATAAAAAGAGTAACACTAACTAAGGAGACAAGTTGTGACCACTAACAAAAAGCAGTGATTTACTACCTTGGACTTTCAACCTCTGACTTTGATTGTTACAAAGTAACAAGTAAATAGCTGAACCAGACCTGCACTATTTCCTTGACAGGCTGCTCAGCTTTTAATGGTAAGGGATGTTTGCAAAGAGCATGACTAGTATAATAAAGTGTGAAAACATCAGTACTGATGAGCTTTTTGCAACACTACAGGAAACGAGCAGTTCCTGAGGTATCTGGACTTCTGTAGCAGTGATCACAGCCTGAACACTATTACTGTTAGAAAAACACTAATAGCTTGATCACCTATATATCCCTCAGCTGGCTTGATTACTACAGCTATTACCCATGAAAGCAAATAGCCTTTTATAAAGGCAAATACTGTCTCTTCAAAACTTCCAGCAAGTCCACAAAATTGTGACTAGTTTTGATCAGCAACTGCTTTCTTCAGACCGAGCTGCAAGAACTTTAGTAGGACAAAACAATTGGTCTTCAAGGGAGAACTTTGTTCCCCAGAGCTTAAAGAGAAACCTGAGATTCATTATTGTCTGATTAAAACTTGTATTAAACCCTCAAGCAAATGAAAAGGCGCTTTCTTCCAAGGGGTCTGACTATTTTATCTCCTTCACTGCAGGTTTTTCTTAGCATCATGGTCCATTCAGTAAACAAAATAGTACAATAAATATTTTAATCAATTTTAAATAACTTATATAAGAGAAAGACATCAAAATGATGTATTGCAGGATTTAGTCTTCACTGCACGTGCTACCCTGGTGCCGTGGACTTGCTTTAAAACATCAGTAACATACATTTTTTTTGCAGCAGTGCTTAAGCCGCAAACATACATTTGATCTCAAGTATGACTGCTCATAGAAAACCACAAACGTGTCACTAGGTAACAATCTACACAAGCAGTTATTCAGTCTGATCCTTTGGCTCTCGGTACTTCCACTGGATGCAGTCAAAAATGTCTTCACGTTCCAGTGGTGGGGCTTCCCAGCAACTCCTGCAAGCACGTTAAAAATGAGATTTAAAGGTAGAAGTTCTGTACTGCCCTGAGCGGCCAACTGCATTACGAGATTAATACAAACTCTTGCAAGCAAACAGATTGGCACGTGCCTTCTCATATCGTCTTAAAGGTATTTACATATTAATTCCATTTCAAGCCAAAGGAAATAAGGCATCTTAATTACCTTTAAGGTTATATATGCTTAGGGAGATTTAAAGCAAGAGAAAAAAATAGCCAGTCTCTCCCCCCCCACTCCTGCAAAAGTAACTCAAGGACATCAATAATCTTGTTAAAAGAATAGGAAAACAAATGCGTGCTATGCATAGCACTCAAAGACCCATTCTTTAGGTCAATAATAAAACTTTCTGAAGTACTTTAACTGGGTGAGGTAACTGTTTTTGTACTCCAATGAAAAATTTAGTAAACTACAGCGTTACCCGAGGCCTTGGTAATACGTTAAGAAACAAATTTAAGATCACACAGCATATAACTAGAAAGAATGTTCTGCGCGGAGGCCTGAACTGACCGGTGATGCCTAGGGATGACTTGTACGCTTGTTGCGTGTGAAGCCCGTTTTCAGAGCATGAGTTCTTATTTCCTATCAAATATATCACTGCTTATGAAATACAGTACACTGCAGTAATACTGATCTTCGGGAGGTGAGCCTGGAATAAGAGAGAAAGAAAAATATAAATTATTGAAGACAAAATAAAGTTGCAAGCCACTTGGAATTTGGCTGTTCAGACGACTTTCTAGATTTATCGCCCATTTAAGTGCACATGTTCTGGGATGCTGTACACCTTCTTTTCCCAGAAGCCTGGTGCAAGAATGAATTGCTTATTAAAGAAAAGTACAGCACAACTATAAACTATTGGTGTTCAACCGCTGCATGACTGTGGGGCTTGCATACCTCCTAAGAACAACTGTCAAAGCAGCATGACAAAGCAGGTCATAATTCTGAAACTAGATGTTTTGCAGTCTTGAGTTGAAAGACAGCGTTCTTGCTGTTAACCCATCATAAGAGATTGGCAGCTGTTCAGTGGCTTCCATACTACCCAAAGGAATTGGCTACCTATTAAATGCTCCGTTTTGAGCACGGAAATAGACATGTGAATGCACAATTTTAAGCAAATGCCTGTGGCATAGTAGAGATCTAGTATATCTTTTAGGTTTGCTGGATACAGTCCTATGTGGATAGGCTGTTCCATCTTCTTTATTTGGCAGCTAACAGAAACTCCATGAGGAAGCAAAGAAGGCAAGGTATTCAAAATAAAATTAAATGGGTTTGAGGTAGTCTCAGAGGGTTAGATTGATCTCCACCACTGCCACTTTTTGAAATGCACATTCTAAATACATGTACTTCTATGAGCACATGCATTCTTGAGAGGCTAATAATAGATGGTGCTTGTTAAATAGGAGAGAGAGTAATACAGAGTTTAGAAATCTCAGAGGGATTTATGGCACACACGCGTTACGATAAACCGAAAACGAAAAGCAAAACACATCAAAAAACATCCTTAAAGATTTCAGCAACACCATGCTAATACAGCTTGTCTGCACCGTAATTCTGTTGCTTGGCCTGAGTGCAAGGCTGCGTTTAGCAAGTTACTGAAATCCACGTTCATTAAGGTCAATGAATGTCTGGATTTGGGGCTGATCACCTGTCATACTGGAGAGCAAAGTTAAATCCCTGCTGAACTGATTAAATATTTTAGAAGAACATTTGGATGTCATATAGTACTGTTAATCACTATTTTATGCTGCTACGAGGGCTGGAGTTCAACTTAGTTTACAACTACTTCTTAAACTGGTAGGTATTCAAGCAGGAAGGACCACAAGACTTCCCAGCTTCTGTTCCTCTGCCGTAATTATCATCAGGCTGCTAACAATGCACAAGCATAAGCAGATCACAGCAGCTTAAGGGAAATGCTGATAAAGCTCGAGCTGATAGAAGTAAAAAATGAGAAGCTCTTCCTTGAGATCTCTTCTGACACTTTCCATATCAAACTGCTTTGTAATCTCTATGTAATCCACTTTTAAGCTTTGTTGTTTTATGTCTAGTCTGTGACCACCTAAGATGATACTGCAGTAACCGGGGGAAGAAATGAACCATAACGAATCATTAGAAATGTTTACACAGTAGACAGTCCCAATTGGAGATATATCTTCCAGCTTCATGCTGAGATTTCCCCTTCTATTCTTAGCTTTATTTTGAAAGCTTGACGCTGCTTGTGCTTGTCAAGTTATACAGTCTGTCTCCAGACTGAGACTTGCCCTTCTCAGAGTCTCAGCGGCCATTGCATTTCTGTTTTCTGCAGCACTCCTTTCTTAATCTTCCACTTTGAAGACAAGAACTATTACAGAACCATTTCTTAAACCCGACAGGATTACACAGAGCGAATGTTCAAACTATTAACCAGCTTGTAGAACTCTGAATGCAAACTGGGATGCCAAGTGCCTCTGCTTTAGCTCACAGATGCACACTGAACTTTAAATCAATACAGCATGCACACTCAAACTGACAGGCAAGAATGAGAGGAGTTATTCCCACGTGAACTCTGAAGCTGTAATTGTCCTGAGAAATTTAGTCAGTCACAATAAAATGTGCCAAAAGAACGGACGTTTTCATCTTTTCAAAGGTAAAACTAGTACAAATGGCAAAGGATTTGGGGAAGCTAACCTAATGTCACTCCTGTTACTAGGAGTACTCTTTAACAGATAAAAAGCGTGCGCTGACAAAAGACCAGGAATGGAAATTCTTCACCTAATAGTGGTAAGGTACACATACTGCTGCTTCACCTCCACCCCTGCTTTACAACTGGAGACAGTTCTTTTTAGTTTGTCCAGCTAAGCCAGGGAGGCTTTTCCAGTGAACTTGACCTTTTTTTTTTTAGGATTATCACAGTCCCTTAGGTTAGACCCCCTTCAACTCCTACATATTAGAAGCAATTTTGAACACTGGTGCTCACATTTTCACCAAGGCTATTTGACCAGGATACCTGCAGCTGTTAAGAAAACTTAAGTGAAGCAAGACAATGCGCAATGTACACGTTTAAAAAAAGCTGTACTGTGAGCAAGGGACCTAACAAAATGCAACACCCACACTTCCTATAATTCACTGTGCTCACTAGATGCCTCCCACGTTCCGTATTATGTCCCAAGTCTACCAACGTATCCTCTAACCTCACTGTGCAACAAAATCCTCAGAAAAGGATTTTCTCACAAAAGTACATTAAGCATTAGACAAAACAAGGTAAAGGTGCGCCTGAAATCAGATCATTTTTCAAGATATTTGGGACAGAGTAACAAGGGGAGTAACAGTGCAGCTGAAGAAACCAGGTAGTGCCGAGCTTATGGGGAAACGTTAGGTAAAATGGAGATATGGTCAACATTGTCATGAATGTGATTTCAGTGGGATTCAGCTACGAAACATACAGGAACAACTACAAAAATACCTGCAGATTTTCTAATACTGAGATCTTTACAGGAGAGATTCACTAAGTACTTAGCTGCCAAAAAGTTATTAAACCCCCCCACAGCTCTGACGGTCTAAACACCACATTTTGTATAGGTCCTAGCTTCTGTCATGAGATGTAATCCCCCCACATCCCTAAGCTCCCAAAAGACCCCTTACCATGAATTTGGTTTCACCTTTAGGCTGCATATCTGTGACAGAGCAGACTTTTTCCAGTTCTTGCACAACTTGATGCAAAGGTTTTGGCTATGAACGGTGACAAAGATAAGTAAATAAAATTCACAAATAACAAGGCTTTCTTACTTGTTTACTAAACAGTGACTAGCCTAAGTACTGTAGGTCGCTCTCTGTGTTCTTCTCTATGAAATCTGACTGAGGGAAAGCATTACAGCAATACTGAGAAAAGGTAACAAAATTGCAACTGGGAAACCGTTAGGAAAAATTTTCCACTGGAATCTGTGTCATCAGACTGCTCTCATTAGAAATGAGAAAACTTGTTTCTTAATTTGAGTTTTGAACTTTCAAAGTAATTAATCTATAGCAGTGGTGCAAAAGCTAAAATATTTTATTAGAATGTCCCCAGAGTTAGCCCAGAGAGATTACAAACCACAGGAGGGTGTATGTTTCTCCTCCAACTGGTTGTGGCTACGTAAAGAGATACTTAGTTTGCCTTCATTCACTTCTTCATTCAGCCACTTGGTTCAATTACAGGTTGTAAAAGTGTACAATGTTGCAGGGTGCGGAGTGGGAAGGAAGGAAGGGTAAGAGTAAACACACTAAATATTTCTGCAAGATGAACAAAGCCTAAAATACATACACAGGAGAAGTGACTCTGACTCTTCAAAATAAATAGGTTATTGCTACAATAACAAAGCAAGATGCAAGAAGCTGGCAATTCATATCTGAGATTGTGCATCTTCTGCAGAATTTAAGCACATGCCCCCTTCTGATAGTAGGGCATGGTAGTCATCCATGGTAACACAAAGACACATACCTGTTTGGGTGATTTAGGTTTGAAACTCAGGAGACTATCCGTATGCCTGTTTGACTCCATGCCTAGGAAAGCAACAAGCAAAGAAAAATCCCTCTATGTGAACACTGCTGTCCATTCTACCGAGACCAGCTAACATTTAAGCATTGTGTCTGAACTCCAGTGTGCATCATCGATTAAAAACTACAATAGCAATGAAGGACATTCATCTACCCTGCTCTTACTGTGTTTTTCTAATTAGCGTTATTCTAATAGAAAACAGTCAGTGATTATCCAAGACATTTGTGAAAAAGTGATCTTCAAGTAAGGACGCTGCTTTTCCATCAAACAACAAGACTTAGCATCACCCCGTATCTCAGAAAGCACCCAAGAACTTCCTCCTATACGTGGGAGTAATGAAGTATAGATGCCCGTAAGATAAAATAAAATGAACAATTCATTCTACTCATTATAGATAGAAAAAAAAAAGCTATTATTTTTCTGGGTGTTTCATCACTGAGCCAGCTAGCCAGGTTGATATTAAAACAGAGGACAGGATTCCAGCATAAACTGACTCTCAAAAGGAGCAACATATATTAAGACAAAAAGCCATGCTAGCAATTTTCAGGTCATATACATATCAGTAAATTCACCATCTTATTAGCTCAAAATAAACACAACAATATCACAGAGCCCAGTCTCATTTATAACTGCCATAGACCATAGCAATATAGTTTGTATCCAGTTTCTTTACCTCTTCCAGCACGATTTCCTATGGAAAGAGGGAAGATGAGTCACTCAAGAGGTCAGTCATTCATTTGCATTCACTAGCATATGTCCTGGATGACCATGTGCATTTGCAAATGCATTCAAATGTTCTGATGTGCATTTGCAGCGTTTCTTCCCTTGGGATTCTTTTCGCAGAATATCTGCATGTATAAAAATAAAATTGGCTGAAACAGTGGTAAGGACAGCATCTCAAAATTTTAGTCAACTACAGGCAAATCAGAAGAAATAGCACCATTTATATTACTGACACTTCACAAATAAAGCTTAAAAAACAGCATCTCACGAAGCAACTGCAAACTCACAATTGTAAATTTGACAGGTCTTGGGAGATGGCGTCACTGCATATTCTTTTGCCTGTATCTGAAAAGCTGCTATGTGGTGGGCGTAATATGACCAACTGGTTCCTATTTACATAGACCTCCGAAACCACAAAAGTTACTTGACAAAACTCAGTCCATCAGCAATAAGCAGGAAAAGGTCCCTCACCCACGGTCAGAGGTGACCTACGTTGCCAAAAGCCAAACGGAGCTTGCGAGCCAGCCAAGTAGAGCTCTGGAAATATCTACCCAGAGAGCTGCAGAAAACATGGACTGCCAGCATGCTGCTTGACTGCAGAGGAAAACAGGCCGGGTGAGAGGATGGCGCGCTGCCTGCCCCACCAGCCAGCACGTTCATTATCTCTCCAGCACCAAAACCACTGAGGAAAAAACGCTGGCGGTGGCACTGCAGCCAGGGAGCGCCACATACTTGCTGACACTCCAAGCCCAGCCAAACAAAACTAACCCCGCTCTAATCCACTTGCAATAACGGAAGGAATTTCTAGAAAATGAAGCACCCTGGTTAGGTTGTGCTTTGGAGGCTTACCGTGAGTTCAACGCGAAATAGGACCACAGGTAATACTGTGTATCAGAAGAAAGCTCTAGGCACTTAGCCTGAAAACTAGCTGCCCTAACGGCCTCTGCTCAGGTGAGCAGCACAGTTACAACGCGGACCTGCAGACTTGCAGAGCCGAACTTCCATTTCTCACAAAAGCCGTTGTTTGCATTGATGAAAGAACGTAAAGTATTCCCAGAAATCGTTAGTTTTGAGGCTTTTGCTGAGCGTCCTATTCCCCGCTTTCTACTCCACCTGTCCGTCCGTTTCAGGCTGGACGTGAGTCCCTCCAGCGACGACGGAAGATTCACGAAGTAAGCAGCCTACCCCACGAAGTACAAAGAAGAGCAACTATTAAAGAGCAGAGCGCAAGGGGAGGAAACCCACCTTTGCCGACTCGTGCAATTGTCCACCTGACCCCCCCCCCAAAAAAAATCCATCTTCTCAGCTACCTTAGCACCCGCTCCATCTTAAATATCAGAAGAAGGGAGGGAAAAAAACCCACAAGTTAACTTCAGGATCATTTATAGATCTTATCTCCAGAAAAATACAAGCCCAGTAAGGACCAAGAGGCCTCTGAAATCGCCACCAAGCACCGGCAGGAAGGGAGCGATGCTCTTCCCGGGGACACGGCGAGCGGCACGGACCCCTGCGAACCGAGGGCACCGTTAAGGGCTCCCTGAAACCGGCTGGCTGTAACCGGGCTTCGGCTCCTGCTGCCAGCGTCCCCGGGCTGC